AGTGGAAACAAGGTTAATAATAATAACAATAATAATAGTAAATTTGCAAAGTAGAAAAAAATCTTCATAGCTTTTTGTCTTCAAATAGGAGCGTAAGAGAGAGAGAGCTGTGTGCCAATGCGAGCAGATAAAATTGAGATATATCCTTATCCCTACTGATCTGTGTGAATATGCTAGGAACAGGGAAGCAATTCCTAAGGAATAACTTCTAGGGCTTATTCCTTCCTGATTACTTCTTCTTGCCGGCTGGTGCGGGGATCTGGTGCCATCATCCTGCAGAGCCAGGCAGCCTCTGCGGGGCCTGCAGCGCTGCGCTGGCCCGTTCCTGCCCTGGTGCTTGGCGGCAGCGCACGGGCTGCAGCTTCTCGTCCTCCCCAGCTGCGGGACAGAGGCAGCGTGGCCTGAGGAGCAAACTGGAGCAATGTGAGAGCTGGACTGGGGCCTTAGTTTGGCGACAGGCTTATGGGTGTGAATCCCAAGGATGTGGGTCAGAGTCAAAGTTGTTGTTCTGAAAACCCCAACCAGCTCCAGCAGAGCCCTGAGGGGCGGAGGTCCCCAAAAACCTTTCACAGGTGCTTGGAAGATGTTTATAACTCCGGAGTCCCTTCCACTTGGCAGAGTGGAGTAACTCAACATCTAGTCTATCCCTAAAGATGGTTGGGAATCAGGGCTAGTATGCAGGTCATTTAAGGCCATAGATGTCTACGTTAGACACTAGAGATGTCTACCAAGATGACTGCTTTGCCAGTCTAAACATCTTCTTCATCTCTGGTGAAAAACAGACTTTTCTATCATTCTTCTGACCTACTTTGGGTGTCTGCTTGGGGTTGAATGATCATCGCTACATGGACTGTAAAGGCAGCCTTGGGGGGTTAGCCCAGAGAGACACCTCTGCACTGCTAATGTGATCACATGTAAATGCTCTTGGTGTTCGTCCAGCCTCCACAGAGGCTTTTTGGAGACAGGAAATTAGCCAGCTCACCAGGTTTCACCCATGCAGGTCTCGGGCCTCTGCAGGAGGGCACGTGTGGGCATTGCTCAGTTCAGCTCTCCAGGTTTTTTATTGCTGGTTTCAGGCCTGCATTTTCTCATTCCGAGCGTGTTCAAAGCTGCCTCCCAGGCTGGGTGTCCTCACCAGGGACAGCTCTTGGTTCAGCCTCTCTGCGAGGTATCTGGTCCAGGTCTCTGCTACAATCCCGGTGCACAAACAGGTGTTGAACATCACAGACAAGCGAGGGCATGGAGCATAACTTGGCAGGAGTTTTAGCATGAGCGTGAGGAAGCCCATGCACCAAAACCTCTGGCCCAGGTGTCTCGGCCAGGGACACCTGGTCTCCCGCACGGGGCTGCTGCGCAAGGCCACGGGTGTCACCTTCTTGGCCCGTCTGAGCGGCCTGGCAGTGTCCTGTGTTCGCACCCTCCCAGGTGCCCTCCCTCTCCAAGGGCTCTCGTCTGCCATGACCGTCCGTGGAGGAGGAGAATGCTGGTGCGGTGGGTAGAGGCCTGGTTTGTAACACGTGGCGGTTCCCCTGGTATTTGCTGGTAAGTTGGTGTTGCCCCATAGTGCCTGGCAAACAGGGTCTGACACCAACTATTTCTAGGTTGAGGAGAGCAGCTCATTGTGAAGGCTGGCACTGGGCAGGAAAGAAAGAAAACTATCTTTGGACATTGGGATAAGAAATTACTCGCAGGTATCAAGCCCAGGAGAAAAAAACAGGCCCAACTTTGTGAAAAAATAACAGGATACAAGAGTGACACCATTTTAACAGAAATCGCTGTGTTCCTGGTAAACCAGAGGTGCTGAAAAGCCTCCATGTTTCAATTTCCTGGCTGTACTTGTAGCAAGATCTGCCTTTCCTCTTGCCAGGTGGCTCCCGTGTGGAGATACCCAGTGCACGTTCCTTCACCTTCGTTACTGCTCCTCCGTGGCCGGGTTGGCTTTGGGAGGGAGCCCGGCTGTGCAGGGTATGGCTGTGTCCCCGGGAGAAGAGCTAAAGCTGCGCTGCAGCCTTCAGTGGACATCCCATCCTCTCAGTGAATAATCAAAAACAAAATTTTTTTTAAAAAAGAGAGGAAAAACTCAAAATATAATAAAAGACAAACCCTAATAAATCATTGTTTCTTTTAAGCAGACAGAGTTGGCCTGCCCCAGACACTTTGGCTGACAAGGAGTACGAGGGGGCGCGGAGGCGGCAGCAGGGCCGTGGCTGCCGCAAGGCCCCAGCCCCGCGGGGCCGCGGGGGGGTTT